ACACACACACACACACGCCGTCGTATCGGCTCTGCAGCTTTCACCTCCCCGCTGCGGTCTGTGTCCCTGCTGCCCTCCCCCGCCTGTATCAGCAGAAGCCGTGGGGATCGGAGGGGACACAAAGCCGATCCACCTGCCACCACCCAGCAGGGAGGTGAAAGCAGTCAGGAGGCCGTGCGGAGAGGAGACTGCAGGACGATCAGCAAATATGTGCAATATTTGCTGATTATTTTTTTTTTGTAATCAAACATCGCAATGATCATTACTGATCACTACGGTGTTTGTAAATAGTTGAGGGCATCGTATTCAGACACTATGTCCCCAATTTGAATAAACGGGAAGTGCTGTACATCACTTACTGTTCATTCATGATTGTGGACACCGTACCGGTTTACTATCTCCTCAATGTATAAATGAACATGACGCCTCTGTACTGAGTGTCTCCTGTTCATTAAGTGCAAGCACGCGCAGAAAAAGAGATGGAGGACTCTGTGTCCTCCATCTCTTTATTTCCAAAGGGAAATATCAGGGGTCTGTTTAGATCTCTGATATTTCCCCAAAGCGCTTAACAGTAGACATGTGCGATTCGTTCCGAATCGAAATTCGGACGAAATTTTGGAAATTCGTGGATTCGGAGCATCCGAATTTCTGAAATGTACCATGTCCGAATTCATCTGAAAGCATCCGAAATTTCAAATTTCGAATTAAGTATGAATTTCGTCCTAATGGAAACTAAATTAGAAATTTATGATAATGACTACAAAAAGAGGATTTTATAGCAGGTGAAGATAAAAACAAAACATTACTTCATGTTCCTGTGCATGCACCGTCAACGTTTACACGGATACAAAAAATTAAGAAAAGGATTTTAATGTCCCTTTTAATAGTGAAGGTCAGGTAATCACCAGCACTCCACACCAGAAAGCGTCACAGACATCCAAATAAACCGACGTTTCGGGACCGTGCAGGGTCCCTTCCTCAAGGCAGAAAGATGTGACCAACACATCTTTCTGCCTTGAGGAAGGGACCTCAGGGGAAGGCCACGCAGGGTCCCTTCCTCAAGGCAGAAAGATGTGTTGGTCACATCTTTCTGCCTTGAGGAAGGGACCCTGCACGGTCCCGAAACGTCGGTTTATTTGGATGTCTGTGACGCTTTCTGTCCAATAAAAGGGACATATTTATCTTTACTACTGAGTGCTGGTGATTTCCTGACTTTCCTGTGTTTGCACGGTGCCATCCGTGGTATCTCATCACTGCGAGCACCACTTTTTTCATATCTGGCCGGGACTGCTGTGAGGAGTGCGGAGGGTCTCCCCATGTACTTACACCTTTAATAGTGAAGACTACAGCACAGCAACCAGAAATGTCAACGGTGCCAATTCTGCTACGTACGTCCGTACGAACATTCGTCCGTTTGCGCAAAACCACAAATTTCGGAAATTCATCCGAATTACGAATCTTATCCGAAACCTAAAACGAAACACATACAGGACCCGATTTCGGAAATCCGAAACTAAATTAAACAAATTTTTTGCGCTGCACATGTCTACTTAACAATAAAGTAAGAAAAAAAAAACTAAAAACAATTATTAAAATCATAATAAAAAAAAAAAAAGTTCAGAAAAAAGTAATGTTCCGTTTTGGCCAGACAAATTTTGGTGCGGGACATCCGTTGTGGTGCCAGCCATTTCAGCGGCACCCCAAACTCGCCTCCCGCCCTCAGTGGAACATGTGATACTGCAATGCTGTGTGATTGTATCAAATTGTGCATGCAGTTTATTCTGAAGTAAAGGTTTATGTTTGTAACACTACATTTGTTGTGGAACTCAAAAACTGATTTGTTTGTTTCCCCCCTCCCTGGGTTGATATGATCTCCGTTCCTATAGCTATTGCCTCTACACTTTTGACTTTATAATCTTGTACCAAACAATCACTCTCACACTCTTATCTTTAACCACTTGAGGACTGGCATGTTAAACCCCCGTCCTGTCTAGGCCATTTTTCAGCATTGTGATTGTTTGACAATGACTTGGTCATGCAACACTGTACCCCAAATAATTGTATATCTTTTTTTAGACAAGTAGAGCTTTCATTTGGTGGTATATATTAACCACTGACTTTCTTTTATTATTATTTAAAGGAAAAAAGACCACAAAAATTTAAATAAAAGCTGTTTTTCTTAATTTAAAGTGACATTAAAGGCAATTTTTTTTCCCTCACCCCAACATTAATTAACCCCTTCGTGACTGACGACGTACAGCGTACGTCGCCAGCATCGGGGCTGTTTAAACAGACTCCCGGCGAGTCTGTTTAAACTTGTAGAGCCGACTGTCGGCTTTACAACAGAAGCGATCCTGGCGACTTACCTGTCGCCAGATCGCTTCTGCGTCCCGAAGAAGGGGCCGCCACCCCCGCCGTGCTTCCCGGGCTCCGTTGCCCCTCCTACGGGCCCGGGACCGGCGATCTTTGTGTCCGCGGGGAGCTGGGGAGGAGGTCGACGAACTTCCGTTCATCGATCCCCTCCCCGTTCTATGGGACCGGGAGCGATGCAGATTGCATCACTTCCGGTCCCTGGGCTGTCAGTTCTGGGCTCCTGCAGCCCAGCTATAAGCTATTGAAGTGCGATCTGCACTTCAATAGCTTATTTCCAGTGTAAAGGTGACACTGAGGGTCTTTTGGACCCCCAGCATCACCTTAAAGAGGACCTGTCACCACCATCTGCTATTACATGGGGGGGCTTGCAAGCCCCCCCATGTGATAGCAGTCAAAGTAAAGTAAAAAAAAAAAAAAAAACAGTTTTTAAAATTAAAATGAAATAAAATAAATCTAATAAAAAAAAAAAAAAAATTTAAAAGTACCCCGCCCCCGCGAGCACGCGCGTCGCCACGTAAACACGCGTCGGGTGCGCCTACGCATGAAAACGACGAACGCGCTACACATGTTGGGTATCGCCGCGCACGCCGGAGTGAGAGCAATAATTCTAGGGCCAGTATTTTGGGGTATCTCTAAATTGATGACCTGTGGGGGCTTTTAAAGTGTCTTTTATTGACTTTTTGGGGTACTGCAGTTTTTCGCCGTTTCACGGTTGCACGCAATCTGTAAACTGGGCATGTTGGGTATCGTTTTACTCATTGTAACCTCATCTTTTATATTTCATTAAAAAAATGGGTAATTTGTTGTGTTTTGGGGCATTTAATTAAATTTGTCACTAAATTTTGGGGTTTAATAAGGAGTTGCGCTAATATTGCGCAACATAAAAATTTTCAACTACCACCATTTTATTCTATAGGGTCTTGGCATTCAGAAAATATATAATGTTGGGGGGTTTTACGTCATTTTCAGGCCTAAAATGTGGAATATAACATGGGTGCAAAAAATGAAAAAAGGGCCTCAGTCATGAAGGGGTTAAAGCACTTATCTTAA